TGGCCACTATGTTCTCCCAGCATCCCTCAGTCCCTACCTGACACAGGGTCCTCCTGGCTGGCATATCCGGCCCCCTCCCCTCAACCTCTCCAGCCCCCCGGGCTTCATTGCTCTTCCCTAGCTACTCTTCCCTATATAAGTCAGCCATTTTGCCTATGGCAGTCCTTTTGGCCTCTTTCCCTCTTGAACTCTGCTCCCGTGTCACCGCTTCCCCTCCCCCTTCTCACAAGGCCTGGTTCAGTTAGCCGATCATGTTCACTCTGGATTCTCCCAGGTGTCTCTGCTCTCCCTTATATCTATAGTAAAAACCTCAACCCCTTAAGAAAAGCCATGCCCCCTCCTTTTATTTATTTATTTTTTTCATTCATCAACTTCTGGAGAATGGATGGGACAGGTAGGTGCATAGAAGACAAAGTCAACAGCCCACTTCGCTTCTGTGTTTCAGATGAAAGACCGAGTTCCTTACTCTATTATTCCTATGTAACCTATTATTTCCTATTTGTTAGTAAATTCATTCAAGGCCTAGTATTTTTTGGTTTGTTTTTTGTTTTTTGAGACAGGGTTTCTCTGTGGCTTTGGAGGCTGTCCTGGAACTAGCTCTTGTAGACCAGGCTGGTCTCGAACTCACAGAGATCCGCCTGCTTCTGCCTCCCGAGTGCTGGGACTAAAGCCATGAGCCACCGTCGCCCAGCCAAGGTCTAGTTTTTTTTTTTATTTTAAAAAAATCCTTTTTTCTCCTCATCCTCTTTTGAGCATCAAATCTCCTGGGACCGGAGTTACTGACAGCTGCCGTGTGGGTGCTGGGAATCGATCCCAGGTCCTTTGGAAGAACAGCCAGTACTCTTAACTGCTGAGCCATCCCTCTAGCCCCAAACAGCAGAACATTTTAAGACAGGATGTTAGAAGGGAGTCTATAGTGAAACGTAATGAATGCGGATCGCAATGGAGTCAGAGCAAGTTTGATGAGCAGATGTTTATTAGGAAAGTACTCAAGCGACAGATTCAGTCTTGTACAACCAGGCAGGTCAGGAAACAGAGAGCCGTATGCATTCGACCCTCATATTTAAAGTCTTGCTACAGCACTCTGACCATGCCCAAGTGCTTGTGGTCTGCATTACCTGTGCCAACCTCCAAATGGGCGTGGTCAGCATTTCCCCCACAATGCCCCTTTTAGTCTAAAAGAGGATTAAAACTTAACAGTGTAAAGTATCTATCATTAACAATCATAAGGGAGAACTATAAGAAGTTATAATATTCTACTAATGTCACATCTTAACTGTAACTATTCCAACTAAACCTTAAAATCATCTGAAACAGATGTCCAAGCTTGAACACCTCCTTCCAAACCCAACCTTAAACAATAGGAATCTATCCCTAACTAGGTGGCAACAGTGGGGAAAGGGACATAGTATTCTCCATGCTACGTTCTGCTGAACTGGAACGATGATGGCCTCGTAAAAAATGTTAGTGTAGTGAAAGTCCTGCATGGGTTAAATCCAGTCTGTGTCTGGTGGGAGATGCTTGATTGAAGGTTCAGGTTGAAGTCCTTATCTTGATTGAAGTTCTTGTGTTGATTGAAGTCGGTACCTAAAGTTCTGGCCGGAGTGTCAGTTGAAACAAAGCCGGAGTGTCAGTTGAAACAAAGCAGGAGTGTCAGTTGAAACAAAGCAGGAGTGTCAGTTGAAACAAAGCAGGAGTGTCAGTTGAAACAAAGCAGGAGTGTCAGTTGAAACAAAGCAGGAGTGTCAGTTGAAACAAAGCAGGAGTGTCAGTTGAAACAAAGCAGGAGTGTCAGTTGAAACAAAGCAAGTTGGATCCAGTGTACTCGAGGTGTGGTCCATTTTCTTTTTGGAGCATCCAGGGATTGCTGTCAGGCAGGTCTTTATTGGCTGTGTGGGACTCAAACATAAATGTTAGCAGAGAAATGTTTGCTTGTATATGTATGCATACGGGAAAGGCAAAAATAGAAAAATAACAATTGAGGGAATGTATACTTTGAGAGAAAGAGCCAAGCAAAGACAAATGACAGTCCCCGATTTTTCTCCTATTCTGTATTACATCAATTGGCTTCTTGATAAAATACAGAAACTCTGAAGTTTATTTTAATAATGTGCTTGGATTTAGAGGAGGAAAGCCAGATCCAACTCTAAAGCCAGCATTGGTTTAATTGAATAGGGACTAGGAAGTAAAGCAAAATAAATGTAGATTTATTTTTTGAGTTTTGTTTGGTGTTATAGCTACCTCCTCTTCTTTAAGTATCTACCCATGCAATGTCCTTTGACTTCTGAAGATGAGTTGTCCTGTGAAGATAAAAGCAAAACACTTCCCTTTCCTTTGGGAGGTTTCTATACAGTTTATGAGATAAACCTTGGTAGATTACCTGTCATTCTTCCTCTTCAAGAGGTTTTTCTTTTTCAACTCAAATCTTGATTAACTTTGATGGTATCCAAAGTTTTTCTTCTCCTGTAGGAACAAAGGGGAAACCCCTTCACCAATGTAGCACATGTCCTGGTTTCCATACAGAGGCCAGTACATTTTTTGGGTTTTTTTGTTTGTTTGTTTTTCCAGACAGGGTTTCTCTGTGGCTTTGGAGACTGTTCTGGAACTAGCTCTTGTAGACCAGGCTGGTCTCGACCTCACAGATCCGCCTGCCTCTGCCTCCCGAGTGCTGGGATTAAAGGCGTGTGCCACCACCGCCCGGCTATTTTTGAAGTATACCAGCTGATTCAGTGCAGCAGTTTTTTCTGTAGTCCAGTGTCGTTCTGCAGCTCTTTCTCCTTTCTCATTAGCATTAAGAAAGTTTAGTGTTAATAACACATTATGTAACCTATGTTTGGGAGGTGGGGTTGTTCCCTCAGC